TGTCGTCGTCGGTGATCAGGCCTACCGCCGTCGTGTCGTCGGCAAACTGATGGTGCTGGAGTCGTGCGTAGACACGCAGTCGTGGGTGAACAGGGAGTACAGGAGGGGGATGAACACACACCTGAGGGGCCCCCGTGTTGAGGGTCAGCGTGACGGAGGTGTTGTTGCCTTCCTTCACCACCTGGGGGCGGCCCGTCAGGAAGTCCAGGATCCAGTTGCAGAGGGAGGTGTTCAGACCCAGGGCCCTGAGCTTAATGACGAGCTTGGAGGGGACTATGTTGTTGAAAGATGAGCTGTAGTCAATGAACATCATTCTCATATAGGTATTCCTCTTGTCCATGTGGGATAGGGCAGTGTGCAATGCAATGGTGATTGCGTCGTCCATAGATCTGTTTGGGTGGTATGGAAATTGTAGTGGGTCCAGGGTGGTAAGGTGGAGCTGATGTGTTCCTTGACCAGCCACTCAAAGCACTTCATGATGACAGAAGTGAGTGCTACAGGGCGATTGTCATGCATGGGTCACATAATATGTGCAATGTGGTGCATCATGAAAAGGTATTTAAACAATATTGGTGTGTGTGTGAGAGAGTGAGAGAACATGCACTCCACTCACCAGGCAGCCTGAGCCTTCTCTGGGCAGTAGGGAAAGGGTGTCTGGCGGGAGAGACTGCTATTTTCTCTGAGGTCCAGGGACTGGGACTGTGCGCTACCCACCAACCTGTTTCCTGCCAGATAAGAAACAACCCCTCCACAGGGACAGCGTCAGCACTCCACTGCCTCTCCACCCCATATGGACTGACATTCTGACATTAACAGCTAGGGAATATGAATGGAAAATAAATCAATGTTTAACACACACACTACATAAAGGACAAGGACACACACACACATTTCTAACCCACTGTAAAGACTGTGTTTCAAGGCTCAATTTGAGCATACAGATCATCTGTGGGTCATTTCAGGCAACTAAGGAGCTATAAATAGGAGAGGACCGCCATCTAGTGGCTCAATATGTGAACTTCAACAGGACTGATTCATTCTATAATCAACTCACATTAAACACTATAAAACACTAACAGTGCTTAGGCCTACTTTGTTCCTCAGTTAAACATTTCAAATGTATCTCATCCAGACAAAGTTTGGTACAGGCTGTTTAAGAATCTCTTAATTCATTAATCTGTTTAACAACCTGACTTTGCTTTAAATAATTGCCCTTCCTCAACCTGAAACAGGGGTTGGCCAGCATGGAGGAGATGATTGCTTACCAATCCTACGAGAGAGCCAGAGACAGACAGACAGACAGACAGACAGACACACATACACACACAAGCAAGACTATGAGTGTGCGTCTAGGTACAGGTACAAGAACACACACACAGAAACGCGCACACGCATGCACACACAAAGTCAGAGAGCCAGGAGTTAGTCAGGAATGCACTTTTATTGTCCCACACTTAGAAAAGGACATCAGAAGGCACTGGAGTGGTTTAGCCCACAACCCTATCCTACGCTACATCAGAGAGGTCACGGCAAGGTCACACCAAGATCAGAAGTCAACTCAGGAGCCATTCAATTCACCTGGGGCACGTTCAAGATCAAAACAATGAACAGTATCTTTAAACTGATTGGTGTGCAACAATGTCCATTGAATTTCATTAATTCCTATTTCTAGATGAGATTGACACAAATTCAGTGCAGTTTTTGGTTTAAATCTGTTTCAATGATCCTGAATATAAGCCTAAACCGCCAGAGGGGCTGTGTACAGTTGTGGTCAAAGGTTTTGAGAATTACACAAGTATTGGTCTTCACAAAGTTCGCTGCTTCAGTGTTATGAGATATTTTTGTCAGATGTTACTATGGTATACTGAAGTATAATTACAAGCATTCCATAAGTGTCAAAGGCTTTTATTGACAATTACATTAAGTTTATGCAAAGAGTCAATATTTGCAGTGTTGACCATTCTTTTTCAAGACCTCTGCAATCCGCCCTGGCATGCGGACTGACTGATGGCAGCCCATTCTTGCATAATCAATGCTTGGAGTTTGTCAGAATTTGTGGGTTTATGTTTGTCCACCTGCCTCTTGAGGATCGACCACAAGTTCTCAATGGGATTAAGGTCTGGGGAGTTTCACTTTTGCCTTATGGCAAGGTGCTCCATCATGCTGGAAAAGGCATTGGTCGTCACAAAACTGTTCTTGGATGGTTGGGAGAAGTTGCTCTCGAAGGATGTGTTGGTACCATTCTTTATTCATGGCTGTGTTCTTAGGCAACATTGTCTCAGGATGCTTTACTGTTGGCATGATAAAGGACTGATGGTAGCGCTCACCTTGTCTTCTCTGGACAAGGTGTTTTCCGGATGCCCAAACCAATCGGAAAGGGGATTCATCAGAGAAAATGACTTTAGCCCAGTCCACAGCAGTCCAATCCCTGTACCTTTTGCAGAATATCAGTCTGTCCCTGATGTTTTTCCTGAAGAGAAGTGGCTTCTTTGCTGCCCTTCTTGACACCAGGCCATCCTCCAAAAGTATTCGCCTCACTGTGCGTGCAGATGCACTCACACCTGCCTGCTGCCATTCCTGAGCAAGCTCTGCACTGGTGGTGCCCCTATCCCGCAGCTGAATCAACTTTCAGAGACGGTCCTGGCGCTTGCTGGCCTTTCTTGGGCGCCCTGACGCCAATTGAACCTCTCTCCTTGAAGTTCTTGATGATCCGATAAATGGTTGATTTAGGTGCAATCTTACTAGCAGCAATATCCTTGCCTGTGAAGCCCTTTTTGTGCAAAGCAATGATGACGGCACGTGTTTCCTTGCAGGTAACCATGGTTAACAGAGGAAGGACAATGATTTCAAGCACCACCCTCCTTTTAAAGCTTCCAGTCTGTTATTGTAACTCAATCAGCATGACAGAGTGATCTCCAGCCTTGTCCTCGTCAACACTCTCACCTGTGTTAACGACAGAATCCCTGACATGATGGCAGCTGGTCCTTTTGTGGCAGGGATGAAATGCAGTGGAAATGTTTTTTGGGGATTAAGTTCATTTTCATGGCAAAGAGTGACTTTGCAATTCATTGCAATTCATCTGATCACTCTTCATGACATTCTGGAGTATATGCAAATTGCCATCATCAAAACTGAGGCAGCAGACTTTGTGAAAATTAGTATTTGTGTCATTCTCAAAGTGTACAAAGTGTTTCACAATCCTGGTCCCAGAACAGTTGTCTCCAGTTCCCACTATCAGTTATTATCTTAAAACGAGCTCCTAATGGAGCTGCAGAATGGACTTTAGATGGACTCATTCATGTCAGCTAGCTCGACTGAAGGTCCTTGAGGAGATGAACGGGAGGATAAAAAGGCATATTCAGCAGTAATCAAGGACCCGGATTAGGAAACACACATCAGATCATTAGCAGAGTGTCTCAGAGCAATTACCCAGAAGTGGCCTTGTTAAGGTATATTCTGTTAGCCTGGTCCCATATCAGTTTGTGCTTTGTTCAGTAAATCCATCTGCAATGTCATGACCATGTGTCAGAGGAGTTGGCTAATAAAGCACAAAGTGATGATGATTTGTCATACACCTCAAATCCAAGCTGAGACATACAAGTAGGCCGTATGTACAATTGGCTGATCATCGAAGAGAACTATATGCTGGCACACTATTCTCTATTATACACAGTAAAAGTAGTGCACTACAAAGGGAATAGGGTGTAATTGACATTTTGCCTATGACCATCTGCTCTGCCCTCTCATCCCCACAAGGCTATATGACCTGCTCTGGGTCTTTTCTCTGTACATATCAAAGCAAGAAAGAAAATAAAAACGTCCCTATTTCTACACCAGGTGCAACAGGAGAGTTTTGGCACATAGGACAGAATGTTGGAGGAAACAGGGGGATGAAATGAGAGTGAAAGGGAGAGAGAGAACAGTAAGTGATGGAGTGAGTCACATTCGTAATACAGGCAGCGCATTGAACAACAGTAGCATGGCAGTGGATACAGTTGTCTATGTCTGGCAAAAGCAGCATTCCTTTTCAACATGGACTTCAGCTGACACAATGGGTGGGCATCAGTGAAAGCAGTATCATGGCAACTCCACATTTCCTGCAAAGTGGCCTTATTTGTACCTATGGTCTCTGGTGGCTCTGTGGTGAGTGGTCCTAACTGTTAAACCCTCCCTCTTGTCTAAGCTGATTCCACACTCTAGAAGTCATTATATCACCTCTCCTAATAAAAAATATGTATTCTCTCTTTCTATTTAAAAAAAATAAAACTTTATAAGGATGTAAATTATCGCTAGTAGAAACAGTACGGAAGCCCGAGGAGTCTCTAGATGTGACACTCAAAGTATTGTCCGGGAAACAATGATAATCAGTGGAAAAGGTTCCTTCTGATCTCAGAATCAACCCATCGTGGTGGGAAAAGTGCTAGGGCATTCATTCATCTTTTTATATTCTACCAATAACAGCCAGGTAGAGCACTTTCTTCCTGAAAGGCAGACAATCAGAGTAGCATTTCTCTGCAGAGGGCCTGAGCATCTGAGGTAAACGTCCAATCAGTTTCCTGACAAGCTTCTCTTTGTGCAGAGTGGGAGGAGCTTAATGCTACACGGTACTGAATAAAACAAATATGTATTAAAAATAATATTAGAAATAATAATAACGACAATAATATACTTGATTAACTCCTAGGAAATAAAAACAGTATGAGGATGCAACCTGTGAAAGAAAGAAAACACTATTTCTGATCTCCAAAAATGTAAACAAAGTCTAATTCTTCCTAAACGAAAGTCATAACTGAGTGGTATTCTCATCTTTCCTCCTACCCGGACTTTCTCCTCAGTCCAAATACCGCCTCACTGAGCTCAACCGATAGGCTCATTCCTCAGCGTCCGTCAAGACAACCCCCACATCCCATTGGCAGTTAGGCTCTTCCTGCTTCCTGTGTGTGCGTGTGGCCAGAGTTCCACCCCTACGCGTAGTCATAGAAACACACGTGGCCAAGCGGTCATCTGGGTGGCTGCAGGGCGCGGTGCGTGCAGCCCGACAGCGCGTCCCAGTTCCTCCAGAGGAAGGCGAAGAGGAGGATGAGGAGGAGGGTGGAGAAGGAGCGGGAGCGGGTCTTCATCAGGGGGACCACACAGTTGGCCACGGTGGAGACGAACACCAGGAGCACGGCCATGAGGGCCAGGAGGACGTTGATGAGTTTCCCCAGCAGGGTCCGGGCCGTGGCGTTCTCCAGGCCTTCTAGCTGGACCACCTGCTGCTGCTGCTGCTGCAGCTCCATCTTAGAGATACGTGTCTGGCACGCCTCCAGGGCTTCCTATAGGATAGGTCAAGAGAAAAGGGTTACACCTAGTAGTACACAGTACTACTACACGCAGTAAAGTAAAGACAGTAGCGTCTGACAAATAACAAAGATCATTACAATTAAAACTCTAGCACCACCTACATCCAAGAGAGGGACGTGTAGTTTAAAAGACAAGGCAACGTTATGCACCCACACCCTCATGCAGGACAAAAGGAGATGTGTGTAACAGACACGGAAATGCTCTATTTACAGATAAACAACCCACTGAGGTTATGGTACACAGACATGGTTTTCAGTTATTTTACAGTCCTGTTTTAGCTGGTAATGCCCTGGTATTTAATAAGAAATTACATTGAAACAATGGTTACTTTTCTGGCACTAATCTGAACGAACTCAACACAATATCTAACTATCTGGTACATTATGAGGCTGGTTCTTATGGATTCCAATGAAACATAATATAAATATTAAGCCATTATCATGTGTTATTATCATCCAATTTAAATAGGGCTTAGCTGTCCTGGATCTGCACAGCTCTGCGAGGGCCTGGGATCGGGAGAGACACTTAAGTGTTTTAGTACTATATCTCTTGACACAATGATGAAAATAATCATGGCCTCTAAACCTTCAAGCTGCATACTGGATCCTATTCCTACTAAACTGCTGAAGGAGCTGCTTCCTGTGCTTGGCCCTCCTATGTTGAACATAATAAACAGCTCTCTATCCACCGGATGTGTACCAAACTCACTAAAAGTGGCAGTGATAAAGCCTCTCTTGAAAAAGCCAAACCTTGACCCGGAAAATATAAAAAACTATCGGCCTATATCGAATCTTCCATTCCTCTCAAAAATTTTAGAAAAAGCTGTTGCGCAGCAACTCACTGCCTTTCTGAAGACAAACAATGTATACGAAATGCTTCAGTCTGGTTTTAGACCCCATCATAGCACTGAGACTGCACTTGTGAAGGTGGTAAATGACCTTTTAATGGCATCAGACCGAGGCTCTGCATCTGTCCTCGTGCTACTAGACCTTAGTGCTGCCTTTGACACCATCGATCACCACATTCTTTTGGAGAGACTGGAAACCCAAATTGGTCTACACGGACAAGTTCTGGCCTGGTTTAGATCCTACCTGTCGGAAAGATATCAGTCTGTCTCTGTGAATGGTCTGTCCTCCGACAAATCAACTGTACATTTCGGTGTTCCTCAAGGTTCCGTTTTAGGACCACTATTGTTTTCACTATATATTTTACCTCTTGGGGATGTTATTCGAAAACATAATGTTAACTTTCACTGCTATGCGGATGACACACAGCTGTACATTTCAATGAAGCATGGTGAAGCCCCAAAATTGCCCTCGCTAGAAGCCTGTGTTTCAGACATAAGAAAGTGGATGGCAAAAAACTTTTTACTTTTAAACTCGGACAAAACAGAGATGCTTGTTCTAGGTCCCAAGAAACAAAGAGATCTTCTGTTAAATCTGACAATTCATCTTGATGGTTGTAAAGTCGTCTCAAATAAAACTGTGAAGGACCTAGGCGTTACTCTTGACCCTGATCTCTCTTTTGACGAACATATCAAGACTGTTTCAAGGACAGCTTTTTTCCATCTACGTAACATTGCAAAAATCAGAAATTTTCTGTCCAAAAATGATGCAGAAAAATTAATCCATGCATTTGTTACTTCTAGGTTAGACTACTGCAATGCTCTATTTTCCGGCTACCCGGATAAAGCACTAAATAAACTTCAGTTAGTGCTAAATACGGCTGCTAGAATCCTGACTAGAACCAAGAAATTTGATCATATTACTCCAGTGCTAGCTTCCCTACACTGGCTTCCTGTTAAGGCAAGGGCTGATTTCAAGGTTTTACTGTTAACCTATAAAGCGTTACATGGGCTTGCTCCTACCTATCTTTCCGAGTTGGTCCTGCCGTACATACCAATACGTACGCTACGGTCACAAGACGCAGGCCTCCTAATTGTCCCTAGAATTTCTAAGCAAACAGCGGGAGGCAGGGCTTTCTCCTATAGATCTCCATTTTTATGGAACAGTCTGCCTACCCATGTGAGAGACGCAGACTCAGTCTCAACCTTTAAGTCTTTACTGAAGACTTATCTCTTCAGTAGGTCATATGATTGAGTGTAGTCTGGCCCAGGAGTGTGAAGGTGAACGGAAAGGCTGGAGCAACGAACAGCCCTTGCTGTCTCTGCCAGGCCGGTTCCCCTCTCCACTGGGGTTCTCTGCCTCTAACCCTGTTGCAGGGGCTGAGTCACTGGCTTGCTGGTGCTCTTTCATGCCGTCCCTGGGAGGGGTGCGTCACTTGAGTGGGTTGAGTTACTGACGTGATCTTCCTGTCTGGGTTGGCGCCCCCCCCTTGGTTTGTGCTGTGGTGGAGACCTCTGTGGGCTATACTCGGCCTTGTCTCAGGATTGTAAGTTGGTGGTTGGGGATATCCCTCTAGTGATGCGGGGGCTGTGCTTTGGCGGAGTGGGTGGGGTTATATCCTTCCTGTTTGGCCCTGTCCGGGGGTTTCTTCGGATGGGGCCACAGTGTCTCCGGACCGCTCCTGTCTCAGCCTCCAGTATTTATGCTGCAGTAGTTTATGTGTCGGGGGGCTGGGGTTAGTTGGTTATACCTGGAGTACTTCTCCTGTCTTATCCAGTGTCCTGTGTGAATTTAAGTATGCTCTCTCTAATTCTCTCGTTCTCTCTTTCTCTCTGAGAACCTGAGCCCTAGGACCATACGTCAGGACTACCGGGCATGATGACACCTTGCTGTCCCCAGTCCGCCTGGCCTTGCTGCTATTCCAGTTTCAACTGTTCTGCCTGCGGCTACGAAACCCCTACCTGTCCCAGACCTGCTGTTTTCAACTCTTAATGATCGGCTATGAAAAGCCAACTGAGAGACCTGAGCCCTAGGACCATACGTCGGGACTACCGGCCGTGGTGACTCCTTGCTGTCCCCAGTCCGCCTGGCCTTGCTGCTATTCCAGTTTAAACTGTTCTGCCTGCGGTTATGGAACCCCTACCTGTCCCAGACCTGCTGTTTTCAAACTCTTAATGATCGGCTATGAAAAGCCAACTGAGATTTATTCCTGATTATTATTTGACCATGCTTGTCACTTATGAACATTTTTGAACATCTTGGCATGGTTCTGTTATAATCTCCACCCGGCACAGCCAGAAGAGGACTGGCCACCCCTCATAGCCTGGTTCCTCTCTAGGTTTCTTCCTAGGTTTTCGCCTTTCTAGGGAGTTTTTCCTAGCCACCGTGCTTCTACACCTGCATTACTAGCTGTTTGGGGTTTTAGGCTGGGTTTCTGTACAGCACTTCGAGATATTAGCTGATGTAAGAAGGGCTATATAAAATAAAATTGATTGAAATACCAGGTAAATGGTGAACTGTAAAATAAACTGGTCCTCTCACACACAGAAGACAGATTATTGTCTTTTTTTAAATTTATTTTTTACTTCAGATGAAATTGTGTTTGTGAAATGAATCACAATCATACAATTGTCTGGCTATTTAGTTTGTATGTGTACAGTGTGTGTGTGTGGTTGTGCGTGTGACTGACCTGTGTGTCGCTGGCTCTCTCGTAGGACTGGTAGGCTATCTTCTCCTCCATGCTGGCCAGCTCCTGCTTCAGGTTTAGGATCTCATTCTGATGGAGCTCTGTCAGATCATTCAGCTGCTCCTCCAGACGCTCACACCTAGACATACCCAAATATAGACACCAATGTTAGTCTAATTGCTCACACAGACATAGACACAGACAGAAATACAGACACAGAGACAGATAGGCGGACAGTCACACACACACACAGACAATCACACGCACTCGTGTGTGCCCCTTTAGAGAAACACAGGTCCCAGGTTTTCCTGGAAAAATAACCTAAAGAGCTTTCAGGTCAAATGAGGGCGGCAGGTAGCTTAGTGGTTAAGAGCGTTGTGGTTAAGAGCGTTCTAATCCCCGAGCCAACTAGGTGAAACATCTGTCGATGTGCCCTTGAGCAAGGCACTTAATCCAAATTGCTCCTGTAAGTCGCTCTGGATAAGAGCGTCTGCTAAATGACTAAGAAAATAAAATAAATAAATAAATGACAACTGACTGGACTGATGGCTATCTGTGAGCTGATTAGCACATGCTTACTCGTCTGCCGATAAGACTGACCAATGGCAGATAATCAGCAGGATGACACTGACCAATCACATACTCTCAGCAGGAGGGAGGAGACCAGAAAGATGGTATGGGTGTCATTAGTAGTGGAAAGAAACTGAACAGGTAAAAAAGAGAGCTGTATATGTCCGTGAGTATTTTTGAATATGTACAAAATGTGTCTCAGGAAATACGTGAATAAATGCACAATGTGCTTGTCTATGCATGCATGTGTGTGTGTGATTAGGTGAATCACACCAGCAGTCTGATCTCATTATGTCTCACCTAACCTGTTTAAGAGTCACATTTCAATAAGATCTACAACTCTTGCCTCTGGTACCACACCGGCACGCACACACACAACAGATACCCACATGCTCTGGTGGTTTAATGCAACAATAAAAAGATACAAGCACAACAGGTGAGTCAGAGAGAGGGGGAGGAGGAGCAACCGTTGAACATGCTGTACCATCCTAATACTGCTGACTGCACAGAACCTTTTAAGCAGGGTTACCCAACAGGTGGCCCGCGGGTCGTTTTATTTGTTGGACATAAAGAAAACACAAAAACACCAGGAAATCAGCTCCAAGTGATTTGAATTCAAGAAATCTGTTCCAAAGTATTACCACGCATAATAGAGATACGTGATCGTATACAAATGTAAGCAAGGTTTGAAATGATTATGTTTCAGTCAAATATTATATCTGTTCGGGCTTCTTGCGGTCAATTTGCAATCCACAAATTATTTGTAATTATGTTCCGGCCCCCCGACCATCCGCTCAAGAAAATAAATCGGTCTGCGGCTGAATCTAGTTGATGATCCCTGCGATAAAGTTTCCTCTAGGAGTTATTATACAGGTAGCAGTCTCAACACAGGAACTGTGTGAAATAACCAGTGGACTTAGTTCATTGGAAGTCATGAAAAGATCAAGACAAAGTCTTCAGTCCAGGCTGTATTCTCATTCATTCATTCATTCATCCATTTCATCATTAGTTATGCTTCAGACTCTTAGCAAAGGTTCAAACACAGTGGTTTAACCATAGCTGTGTGTTTAATTGCCAGAACATAGTCATCAGCAGATATGCTCAAACCTCATTAGGGTCCTTCAGTTTTGATGCTCCTTATTTTTTGTCTGAAACACACAGACTCTGGTAAACACATTTTAGAAGAATATATATATATATATATATATTTCTCTCTCTCTCTTTTGTCTGTCTGTTAATTTGCCTGTCCTTTTCCTCATTCACTGAGTTTAAGCTTCAAATGCAAAACTTTCTAGCATCAAGAAGTTTATTGTCCTTCTTCATCCTCCATCTAAACCTTCTCCATCTGATTGCCTTGTGAGGGTTAAGTGCATATTAATCATAGTGTCAATGGCCCTTAACATCTTAATACCCATTTAATCACATAGAGTAATAGATTCAGTTATTTTGAGAAAGGCTAAATATCTAGTAATACATGACTAACACAGTCTCTTTGAAACCTAGTAAAATGAACTGAATAGATACAATACATTTTTGCCTTTCACCAGGGTACAGTCATGGTTCCCTCCATTTCTACGGTATATGCTAAGTTTAAAGGTGCTGTCCCTTGACCAACACATGGCATGAGTACCAACACATGCCCTAAGATAGCTCTTTGATAGGGCAGGACAGATCCCTGTGCTCAGGACTCCAAGCGCTTCTTCCTGTTTCCTTTAGAGCAGGGATTTCCTCTGGCCACCTACATACACTTGGCAGGCTTTAAGGGAGTTTCAGGGTTTCCGCTTTAAGTCAGCGTTTTGACAAACCCTTTGAGACAGTGCAAAATAAATATACTTAAATGGCGACCTCTGTTCCTGTAGTGCATAATGGCGTTTCTGTAATTTGTGTGTATCTTTAAGGTTACTGTCACTAGCTTTACAATAAACATACATGCATCCATAACACTTAGAGATAACCTCTCAAATGTTAACCTTATCCATCTTTGGATGGAGTTTTTCATGCAGGTCTCTCTCTCTCTCTCTCTCGCTAAGAACGTCTGTTGTGTGTACCTGAATTGTTAGTCCTGCAAGGCCAGCATGATGACTACAGTGATTCTTGTTTCCGTACCTGAACCGTTCCTCCTGCAGGGCCTGCATGATGACAGTGTAGTCCCTCTGATAGTGGCTCTTCAGCCCCTCCAGACTCTCCTCTAGTCTCCCCTGGCCCTCCCTCAGCTCCTGCACTTCCTGTAGCAGCATGTCCAGGCTGGAGCTCTGGCTCCTCTCCAGGGTGTTCCCCTTGGAGCTGGGGGGGCCTCCGGGGGCCCCCGTGGTGCTGTTGGCCCCTGCCGACCCTGACGTAGCGCTGGAGCAGTCATCCTCGCTGCCGTACTTGGGGCTGGACTGCAGGTGGTGGTGTGCTGCGCTGCCCAGAGACGTCCCCCCGGCCCCCATCAACCCCTCCTCGCCTCCTGAAGGGTCATCCAAGGAGTCCTTCAGCCCGGGGATGTTGTCGGCGCTGCCAAACTTGTTGCGGAACAGCGAGGCGATCTCTCGGGGCTTGGAGACGACCCCGGCGGCAGCAGAGTGTGTAGCCTGGGAGAAGCTGGTGAGGCCTCCCTTGACACTGTCAACCACGCCTTCGCTGAAGCCTGTGACCTTTGCCCCCACGTCCTTCAGGCCCTGCTGCATGTCCCTGAGGACATCCTTAGACTGACGAGGGATGCCGTTGTGCTCCACCTCCCTCAGCTTGCGGTGGTAGTGCTCCAGCTTCCTCTGTAGCTGCTGGATGGTCTGGGCTGACTTCTGGTTCTTCTTCTCAAACACCTGCAGTTATATAGGACATTTAGATTGCTGTGTTTTATATTACATTTACAATGAGTATACCAAACTATAGGAACACCTTCCTGATATTAAGTTGCCCGCAGCATTGCAGTTCTTGACACAAACCGGTGCGCCTGGCACCTACTACCATACCCAGTTCAAAGGCACTTACATTTTTGTCTTGTCCAAGGATATGGGTACGCAGACCCACGAGCCACTGCGGCCCCTCATGATGAGTTCAGTTTTTTTGTGGGTCCCACCCCCATTAAAGTTGCCCATCCCCGATCTACACTGATTTCAAGTGACAACAATAAGAGATCATAGCTTTCACCTGGATTCAACTGGTCAGTCTATGTTATGGAAAGAGCATGTTCTTAATGTTTTGTATACTTGTGGGTTAATATTTATAGCACATACGCATTTTATAGTACATGTATCAGAACATTTGCTCTGTGAAATATAAGGAAGGAGACAGGCTGACACACCCACATTGATCTGTGCCTGTGGTAATTTACACTGAATAAAATGAAACGCAACATGAGCTAAAATAAGAGACCAGAAATGTTCCACACAAAAAGCTTATTTCTCTCAAATTATGTGCACAAATTTGTTAACATTCCTGTTAGTGAGCATTTCTCACAATTCTCTTTTGCCAAGATAATCCATCCACATGACAGGTGTGGCATATCAAGAAGCTGATTAAAAAGCATGACCACTACACAGGTGCACCTTGTGCTGGGGACAATAAAAGCCCACTCTAAAATCTGCAGATTTTGTCACACAACACCACAGATGTCTCAAGTTTTGAGGGAGAGTGCAATTGGCATGCTGACTGCAGGAATGTCCACCAGAGCTGTTGCCAGAGAATTGGATGTTAATTTCTCTACCACAAGCCGCCTCCAACGTTGTTTAAGAGAATTTGGCAGTACGTCCAACAGGCCTCAAAACCGCAGACCACGTGCAATCCACATCTGGCTTCTTCACCTGCGGGATCATCTGAGACCAGCCACCCAGACATCAGATGAAACTGTGGGTTTGCACAACCTAAGACATTTTGCATAAACTGTCAGAAACCGTCTCAGGGAAGCTCATCTGCGTGCTCGCTGTCATCATCAGGGTCTTGACCTGATTGCAGTTCGGTGTCGTAACCCACTTCAGTGGGCAAATGCTCACCTTCGATGGCCACTGGCATGCTGGGGAAGTGTGCTCTACACGGATGAATCCCGGCTTCAAGCGTGTATGGTGTTGTGTGGGTGAGCGGTTTGCTGATGTCAACATTGTGAACAGAGTGCCCCATGGTGGCGGTGGGGTTATGGTATGGGCAGGCAAAAGCTACGGACAACGAACACAATTGCATTTCATCGATGGCAATTTGAATGCACAGAGATACCGTGACAAGATCCTGAGGCTCATTGTCATGCTATTCATCCGACGCCATCACCTCATGTTTCAGCATGATAATGCACGGCCCCATGTCGCAAAGATATGTACACAATATGTCGCAAGGATCTGTACACAATTCCTGGAAGCTGAAAATGTCCTAGTTCACCAGACATGTCACCCATTGAGCATGTTTGGAATGCTCTGAATCGACGTGTACGACAGCATGTTCCAGTTCCCACCAATATCCAGCAACTTCGCACATCCATTGAAGAGGAGTGGGACAACATTCCACAGGCCACAATCAACAGCCTGACCAGCTCTATGTGAAGGAGATGTGTCGCACTGCATGAGGCAAATGGTGGTCACACCAGATACTGACAGGTTTTCTGATCCAGGCCACTAACTTTTTTTCTAGGTAACTGCGTCCAAAAGATGCATATCTGTATTCCCAGTCATGTGAAATCCATAGATTAGGGCCTAATGAATTTATTTCAATTGACTGATTTCCTTATATGAACTGTAACTCATTAAAATCTTTGAAATTGTTGCATGTTGCGTTTATATTTTTGTTCAGTGTATATATACATATATACAGTACATACACATACATACAGAGAGCAAAGTACAGAGAGATCATTGATGAAAACCTGCTCCAGAGCGCTCAGGACCTCAGACTGGGGCGAAGGTTCACCTTCCAACAGGACAACGACCCTAAGCACACAGCCAAGACAACGCAGGAGTGGCTTCGGGACAAGTCTCTGAATGTCCTTGAGTGGCCCAGCCAGAGCCCAGACTTGAACTTGATCAAACATCTCTGGAGAGACCTTAAAATAGCTGTGCAGCAACGTTCCCCATCCAACCTGACAGAGCTTGAGAGGATCTGCAGAGAAGAATGGGAGAAACTCCCCAAATACAGGTGTGCCAATCTTGTAGCGTCATACCCAAGAAGACTCAAGGCTGTAATCGCTGCCTAAGGTGCTTTGACAAAGTACTGAGTAAAGGGTCTGAATACTTATGTAAATGTGATATTTACCTTTTTTTGCTTTGTCATTATGGGGTATTGTGTGTAGACTGATGATATATATATATTTTAACCCATTTTAGAATAAGGCTGTAACGTAACAAAATGTGGAAAAAGTAAGGGGGTCTGAATACTTTTCAAATGCACTGTATATTGTAGTCATATATTATATAATTTAGTAGCGCTGTTATCCAGTAAAAGTGGTTCTGTCTGGTGTATTGTCATTCAACTGTTTTGTGTTTCATATCAAAACGATAAAAACTCTGATCATAAAACTCTGCTCACCTGTTTGATGCGGCCACTCTGCTGCTTGTCAGCGTTGTTGGCCAGTTTGAGGTACTCGGCCACATTGTCGTCTCTGGCCGTCTGCTCAATCTTGATCTGCTCGGTGAGCTTGAGGATCTTCTGCTGCAGCTGGGTGATAGCCTGCTTGGTGCGCTGGGGATCCAGGGTGCAATCGTCACCCCCAGGGAAAGACCCATCCTCCCCACACGACACTGCCTGGGGGGTCTGAGCCCAGCCACTCACCTCCAACTGCTCAATCTGGTGGAGGAGAGGGGGAATTCATTATCACAATATTTCTATACCATGGGCTCCACAAAGAAAACAGAAAGAAGGAAGCAGCTGAAAAATAACCAATTTCCTTCCATATGCCCAGAGACACTACTGACTGTGTAGCATGGCATGTAGGCTGAACCATAGAGGAAATCCAACATTTCTTGTCAGTAGAAAATTGTTAATCATGGGTGGAGGTGGATAATATCGTTGAACCTAATCACTACTGTGCACAGTACAATGTAGGACATCATGTTTGACAGGATGTCGGATTTGCGATTACAGTGTTGACATTGTTTCACAGATTAGGGCTACCTACAGACAACCTTTGCTTTTTCAGCCATTGACCTGATTTCTGCCAACAAACACCAGTGTAAAAAAAAATAACATCCTATCTAAATGGGAAACGTGGTATTCCAATAGCACTCCATGATCAGATAGTTAGGAGGAGTTAGAAAAGACAGGGAACCATGAATCCCCTGAGCACTACAACTCTAATAGGGATAAAGTCAAGGGCCATGCTCACTACTTAATCGAATTAAGAACTAGACTGACAGTGTGTAGGTGACTAATTCAGCTTGCATTTCATTCCTCACATTATTAGATCAATCATATGGCATAGTGACAGAAAAAGTAGTCTAACCTAACTGTCAACACATGCCCTGGGGCTATTCTCCTCATCAGAGACTGACACGTGCTACAGTGCACCGAAAATACAGGGGCAAGAGGGATGGGGAAGAGCCAGGGGGAGAGAAAGGCTGGTTGACTCCAGAATATTTTTCTGTCACTGTCAATTGTGCCCCCTGGTGAAATCACAGCGTGGCTGCGATTCATTTAGTTATCTTTCAATCAACAAGTATTTGTACACCGAAGTTGGGAAATACAAAACTGGCCAGTTGCTCACCTGTCTGCGCAATATGACTAACCGATGACAGGCACCACACTGTAATTACATGATTAAAAGACAAAACCACAGCATCCGGTAACTGAGACAGTTATACGAAACTAAAATCCAGTCTATTGAAACCATTATGCTCCAAAATACAGACACCTGATAGGTTCAAAAAGACAAGGGACAGAGAAACTGCAAGGCAGCGAAGACAATCTCTCACCTTGCCATTATCCAATCGGAGTACTTGTTCCCAATGCATGTTCTCTTATTCCCTCAGTCAGTTTTCATCTGTCCAGCGACTTAATTTATGTATCCCGCTCCGACGATTCGGCCATTGCTCACGCCAACTCCCCAAACTTGTGTATACAAACTTAGTGTACCTGGAACCTGACTGTCCACCTTTCCCCCTCCCCACCGAGCGAAAGTGGTGACATCATCCTCCTGCAATCGCTCCTAGAGCCAAGCGCAAGAAGTGCTGTCAATTACATTTCAAACTGCCCACGATCTGTACTGCTCATGTTTATTTATATCAAACAACTTCGGGGAAATCTGGGGGAAATGTACTCCTTATTTGAACACAGTAGCCTAGCCCTATAGTTTCACTATTTATTTTCACCTCAAGGTTCTCGTTTTCACTGTCACACATGAATATTAATCATATCCACAAAATCAGTTTTCGGAAAATGTTTTGCTCACTCTCAAGGCGCAAAAACAACAATTGCACAATGTTCTCCAAAAAAGGGCAAAAGTTAGAAATCTGACCTATTCTTTAAACAACTTTTTGACCTTGACATGAATTTATAGAAACGAAACCCTTGGAGATATAACTATTTATAATCAACCCCCTCCTTAATCTGGGTTTAATCTTTCCATTCTGAAAACTGTGCTTGAGATAAAACAGACATTCATTCAGGGAGGAGGAAAAACGGACTAATAGAGTGCAGAAAGCAGGGTGGCTGGGTGTGTAAATGAGATCATATGAAATATATGCCTCTCTATGTGCCAAACAGCCGCTGAAGAAAGGTGGCAGCGCGACAAGCTCAACCAGTCTGACAGTTTCAGAAATGCCGCACACATGCACAAATGCGCACGCCCGCACGCGCACGCACACACACACACACACACACACACACAAACGAGCACCAACTGGGACCAATTATAAATAATAAACCAATTATAAAATTGTGAAATCCTAATCATACAATGATGACTTAAAGACATGCTCTGGTACTTTGGTGATTAATAAAGTATTTTTTAAACCTGCTTTGGACTGGATGTCTCAATGTGTAGTTCATAGCCTACATGAGTAATCTATGAGCAGAATTACTGTTTTACCTCAATTAGCCACGAAATCACTAGTTGGAAAGCAACTGTTTTCTTGAAGCTCTGCTGAGACATTTCCCCTACATTTCCCCCCACATAGGCCAGCACCCTAGCAGTTTGAGTTCTAGCCAATGAGCTTCAGCCCCTTGCATTTGAGTGACAGCTAGCAAAAGGCCTGCCCAGTGATATCCAATGAGGTTGCAGGGCGGGCACAAAGGCTCAGTGGACACAGCAGCGCGTTCAAAACAACTGGGAACTCAGAAAAATACAAGGTCAAATCATGACATCAGTGATATTCAGGTCGGAAAGTCAGCGCTCTAGAAAGAGGCCAGAGTTCCCGAGTTGGAATTCCGAGTTGGATGACTGTTCAAAGATATTTTTCCCAGTCTGAGCTTATTTTTTTCAGTTCCCAGTTGTTTTGAACGCACTGAAGTCGGAAGTCAGAAATGTCAGAGTTCCCAGTTTCGTGTTCCCAGTTGTTTTGAACACGGCAAGAGAGAGACAGAGAGAGCAACGACGTGGTGCACATATCTGCACAATTTTCGGGGATCACTTTTGGCTCGTGAGTGCTACTTTCAGAACTACTGGCTAAAAAGTATACAAAATTACAGGCGAATCTCTTTATTGGTCCAATAAGAAAACAATCCTATTATTATGATGACAGCTAAAGTGAAAAGTCCCAATTAACAAGATGCGCTGCCGACTGACAAGGAAATGAATCAGAGAATGTGCCTTATCTCCATAATTATGTCCAATTACATTCAGAAAGTCTTCAGACCGCTTGCCTTTTTCCACATTTTGTTATGTTACAGCCTTATTCTAAAATGGATTAAATGAAAAGAAAAAGCGTCATCATTGATAAGACTAAGCTACATAGCTTTAACTGCAGAAGTGAGATCAAAGACATGATGACACGGATTAACTGTGGCCTCGGAAGCGGCCCACTAAAATAGCTGTCTGGCCGCTGACGGTGAGAGTGATAAAGGAGGGAGGCCAAGGAATGGCTGAGTCAGCTGACCACAGTGAACTTGAGTGCCTCACAAAGCAGTGCAGAGATACAAGCTTGCCCGTGATAACGAAGAGCTCAGAGACACTCACAGACTAGCACAGGAGTAATCCATCCATCCCCATACACAATAAGCAAGACTTTGAGCGTGCGTCCAGCTACAGATGCAAGAACACACACACACACACACGTGCATGCACACAAACAAACACACACGCACGCACGCACACACACACACACACACACACACACACACACCAGAAAGAGGAGCATGGTTATCCCTCATTGTTCCAATGCCCTTCTCATTTATCTGAGAGTATGACCTAACTTCCATCTTGATAAAGAATGTCTGAGCTATAAGGGAGGACAGACCCTGTTAAGGGCTTTATGAAAGCAGACTCCTCCAATGCCCTAGAGATCCTCACCCACTCGGAACACATTACCATGGTCACAGTGTTCCGTCTGATCCACAGAAGCTAGGGGTCAAAGGTTATAAAGCTAATCTGAAGTGTGACATTCAGATCTCAAAGAAAGGAAGGAAAAGAGAGCGAGAGCGAGAGCGAGACCAAGAGAGATATACTTGGCCACGGAGAAAAGATACCCTAACCCAATACACCTGTGACGAGCACACGTTATTGTTTACGCCTAGACGGAGCATAACTCTGTCTGTATACAGTAGACATTCACAGAGCACATACACTTCACATTACAGTGCAACGTTTATCCCTGACTGCATCATAGGTTCAAAATATTATACATATATGGTACGATATACATTTGTGGTCAAAGGTTTTGAGAATTACACAAGTATTGGTCTTCACAAAGTTCGCTGCTTCAGTGTTATGAGATATTTTTGTCAGATGTTAGTATGGTATACTGAAGTATAATTACAAGCATTCCATAAGTGTCAAAGGCTTTTATTGACAATTACATTAAGTTTATGCAAAGAGTCAATATTTGCAGTGTTGACCCTTCTTTTTCAAGATCTCTGCAATCCGCCCTGGCATGCTGTCAATTAACTTCTGGGCCACATCCTGACTGATGGCAGCCCATTCTTGCATTATCAATGCTTGGAGTTTGTCAGAATTTGTGGGTTTATGTTTGTCCACCTGCCTCTTGAGGATCGACCACAAGTTCTCAATGGGATTAAGGTCTGGGGAGTTTCCTGGCCATGGACCCAAAATGTCGATGTTTTGTTCCCCGAGCCACTTAGTTATCACTTTTGCCTTATGGTAAGGTGCTCCATCATGCTGGAAAATGCATTGGTCGTCACCATCTTGGATGGTTGGGAGAAGTTGCTCTCAGAGGATGTGTTGGTACCATTCTTTATTCATGGCTGTGTTCTTAGGCAAAAATGTGAGTGAGCCCACTCCCTTGGCTGAGAAGCAACCCCACACATGAGTGGTCTCAGGATGCTTTACTGTTGGCATGACACAGGACTGATGGTAGCGCTCACCTTGTCTTCTCCGGACAAGGTGTTTTCCGGATGCCCCAAACAATCGGAAAGGTGATTCATCAGAGAAAATGACTTTAGCCCAGTCCTCAGCAGTCCAATCCCTGTACCTTTTGCAGAATATCAGTCTGTCCCTGATGTTTTTCCTGGAGAGAAGTGGCTTCTTTGCTGCCCTTCTTGACACCAGGTCATCCTCCAAAAGTCTTTGCCTCACTGTGCGTGCAGATGCACTCACACCTGCCTGCTGCCATTCCTGAGCAAGCTCTGCACTGGTGGTGCCCCAATCCCGCAGCTGAATCAACTTTAGGAGATGGTCCTGGCGCTTGCTGGACTTTCTTGGGTGCCCTGACGCCTTCTTCACAACAATTGAACATCTCTCCTTGAAGTTCTTGATGATCCGATAAATGGTTGATTTAGGTGCAATCTTACTAGCAGCAATATCCTTGCCTGTGAAGCCCTTTTTGTGCAAAGCAATGATGACGGCACGTGTTTCCTTGCAGGTAACCATGGTTAACAGAGGAAGAAGAATGATTTCAAGCACCACCCTGCTTTTAAAGCTTCCAGTCTGTTATTCTAACTCAATCAGCATGACAGAGTGATCTCCAGCCTTGTCCTCGTCAACACTCTCACCTGTGTTAACGAGAGAATCCCTGACATGATGGCAGCTGCTCCTTTTGTGGCAGGGCTGAAATGCAGTGGAAATGTTTTTGGGGGATTAAGTACATTTTCATGGCAAAGAGGGACTTTGCAATTAATTGCAATTCATCTGATCACTCTCCATGACATTCTGGAGTAGCAGACTTTGTGAAAAGTAGTATTTGTGTCATTCTCAAAACTTTTGACCACGACTGTACAGTATGTGTCATACATTGGATCTATACCCTGCACCCCTCACCCAAGTAACTCTTGTCAGCCATAAATCAACTCCTGATAAGGGCACATACCAGTAAGTGGGTAAGTCCAAACTCTATTTAGGTGAACCGCAGTTCACCAATTCACGTGCAGTATGTGTAATGGCTCTGGCTATCTGCAGGCTCAAGTTTAGTGCATGCATCACACTTATCAGGAGTTGACTGACGTAGCACCTCTTCACGTATATGGTAGTGAGTTACATACTGTAGTGCCATCCACTGTACTATATAGCCACACCCCAGAGAACTCCACCTGACTAACTACTGTGGATATCTCTGTGATTCCCCTGTGTGTGTGTGTGTCCACCTGGATGAAGCCTAGATAGAACATCAGAGCATGTGAGTGTAAATAAAGTACACAGCAGACCTTACAGTGCAGGACTTTTCTATACTAGGACTAGGGAGAGCTTACTGCACAGCTCACTTTAAGGTTGGCAGACTGGGAGACACTGTATTGGCTAAGGCCCTTGAATTCCCCTCTCTAGGGCAATGCAAGTCAAACTGATTAACACAAGTTCCCAATGCTTCTCCTTTCCTGATCTCCTCTCCCCCAGTCTTAATGACTCCCCTCTTCTCTTCTCCTCTCTTTAACCCTCTTCTGCTCTTTCTGCCCATTTAACCTCTCCTCTCCTCTCCTCTCCTCTCCTCTCCTCTCCTCTCCTCTCCTCTCCTCTCCTCTCCTCTCCTCTCCTCTCCTCTCCTCTCCTCTCCTCTCCTCTCCTGAAGGTCTCAGTTCCCACCCAGCCTTGCCAAATTAAGCAGCTCTGATAGTTTTTAATGGAAATCCGCTTTATTTGTGTCTTTAAGGGGTTCCAATCGGACAACAATGAGGTCCATTCAATAGCTACGGACAATTACATAACTCTGTGTGACGCTGGGCAAGCAGCAATTTACTAAACACACACACACACAGTTCAAGCTCGCCAGCAGCTAACTTTTGTTGTGCGGAGGAATTCAGAGGGGTCTGGGAGAAAAGCCTGTTGTGTCCACTTCCAACAGGAAAAAACACACAGACTAAACTAAACTAAACTGGGAGACTGTTGAAATGCGGTGGCTTTCCCTAGCCCAGCCATCACAACACAGGCTTTCAGTCCCCATGACGTAAAAAAAATAAAATCATCTCAAAGCTTCTCAGCACAGGCCTCTGGTCTCTTACTGCAACTCACAGTCATCCTCTCAAATGCTCTGTTATTGTTTCAACATGGGTGTGTATTGGTTCATGTAACGCAAGGACATTTTGAAACATTGCAGACAGATTAACATTCATTGATGCTGTATATGGATGGATACAGACACAGATGTGTGTACACATATATATACAATGTACAACAACATTTTGAGATATACGTGCACATGGTTGTGAGGTCCAACATAGATGAACACACACACACACACACACACACACACACAGGCACACGCTGTATACAGGTGAAGACTCACGGTGGTGGGGGAGAGCGGTGGAGAGGGGTCAGCGGCTATCAGGTTGAGGATGACCTCCATGATGGGGGGGTGCATGGAGCCTCACACAGCCTCTCAGAGGAGAGTGGTGTCTGTCAGTCTGTCCGTCTGTCCCATAGGAGATTGCCACAGCAGGGAGGAGGAGGACTGAGCCAAGGGTCCACTCATCACACTGGACACACTTACTGTCTGGTCCTCTTGGAACAAAGTCATCTTAACACAGGGAATCTAATAAGAGGGTCCACTAAGGTCCACTACCATTAGACAAAGACTGTGAATAACCGTTGTAGGAGCCAATGGAATACTATCAAGGCTGAGTATCTGGACACAGCATAAGATCCACTGAGGCATAGTCCGCTGTCCAGCACAGGGCCTTCTTCAGAGCAGAGTCCATTGTCCAGTCTGTCCATCCAACAGCTAGCCTCTGCCGAGTCCCCAACAACCAGATGTTCCTGTTTCAGGGGAAATGGAAAGAGAGTCTGTGACGCGACTTCCGCTTTTGGACGTTAACAAGGCGACACTCCATATTAACTCCTCCTCCACATTTACTGGATTGGTTGAACAGTGCAGAACAGAACCTCTCCCAACAGTTTTCTTTCTTCTCGTCAAGACCAGTGGGAAGGAGATCTAGTTTCAGGCTTTTGTTATACGCCTGCTACATTAATCCAAGAGCAGACCCACTTAAACCGCTACTTAGTCCAGTCAACTGAGTCACCACTGAGTCCACAGCCCTAGGAGACCTTGCTACCAGCCTTTCCTGCTAGCAGCCTGAGAGACTGATAGAGCAGCAGCTCTGCTGGGTCCAGGCTTCACTGATCACACACACTCTATAGACTGGAGAGAGAGTCCAGCCAACGTCAAGCCTATGAAGCACACACACACGCTTCAGCGAGCACAACTCTTTCAGGCACAGCGCTCCTGGAAGAACAAGGAGTCCTCGCAGCGTTGGGCCGTCCTGATGCAGCCTCAGGATGACAAGAAGTGACAGTTAACTGACTAAAGTTAACTGCAGTTTGAACGCAGGGTGACAAACTTTAGGGTTAACTAAAAGAAGAGCTGACCGAATATTGAATACAGGTTTAACTGAAGGAAGAGTTGACTGCAGTTTGAACGCAGGGTTGCGTTTTTAAGTCCATAGGGTGTAAAATCCACTGAGGGAGAAAGAGAGAAAGAGATACCCTGAGGATGAATGTGATGGGAACAAGGGAGCAGGGAGGAGAAAACAGCCAACCAGGAGCAGTCAGTGTGTGTGTGAGTGAGAGAGGGGGAGGTGAGAGGGGGATCGAGTGCACAGGGAAGGGGGGCAAGGGGGAAAGTATTTTCATCCGTCACAGTTTCTGGGCCAGTGAAACTCCACAGTTGGCTAGTTGATGCAGAAAATACCTAAACATTTCAAAATGTCAAGCCTGAGCCAATTATCTTTCACAGCTTGAATGTCACAGCCAATCAGCACTGATGGCCAGCACACTGAAGCCAACCAGAAATGAACATAGCCTACATACCCTGACCAATGAGCTATGATTCAACACAACTCTCAGCCAATCAGCTCACACAGCCAGAATGCCCTGCTTTCATTTTGATACATCTCATAGCCAATCACCTGCCTGAAATCCCAAATAGCCTTGCATCAGAATCCTATGATCTCATCTCTGTCCCTACTGTACTGGCTACTGCCGCTGGGCCTGATGTCACTCACCACACATCCACAATCCACATACTGTAGGACACATGATGTCACAGTCCTAAACAAAAACAGCTCCACCATCAACCCCTTTTCAGATTATACAGTCATATGACCAACAAGACTGCAATGCAATGTGTGTGTGTTTTTTCGTATATAAACCAACTGCTCACAACCAATTAGGGGGAGAAACTAAGCAGGATAAGCAGGATGAGGGCTGCCAAATAATTTCTTTACATAAATGAACTGAGTTGAGGGAGGGAGAGAGGAGAGGGGATGAATACAGGCTTTAATGAGGACTGTGGGAGGGAGGAATAGAGGGAATGAGGGACCCAGACCCAGAGAGGCTAGAGTTTAAGGGAAAGATGGCTTACGTAAGAGTAGGCCTCAGTCATTCTGAGGTTTCTGTGTGTGTGTGTGTGTGTGTGTGTGTGTCCACTCGACTCAATTAGGGCTGTGGCGGTCACGAAATTTCGTCAGCCGGTGATTGTCAAGCAAATAACTGTCGGTCTCACGGTAATTGACCGTTAATTAACATAAACACATTTAGCATCTCCTGGCTTCCACACACTGCCTACAAGCCATTTTAAAAAGTGTTTTCTTTTAGACATGTCTAAAGAAGCATGGTATGAAGGAAATGTAGTCTATTTCAGAAGAAAAGAATAGCATACTCTGAGTTGTATTCTTTTAGGTCCTGATGTGGCTATGCCAAATTGCTGTGGGCTACACTAGTTCATTTAGCAGACAAGATTAGCTTATAATTCCTTGGCATTATTTTATAATTATTTTAATAATGTTCTATTATTTTATAGTATGAAGAATACAATTCTGTGTTGAGCGTTAACAAAGAAATAGGCACTCATATATGCTTATATATGCACCTTAGTAGGCGGTTTAAAGTCAGATACAATTCTGATTCCTAGCCATGCTATGGCCAAATCTTATTTATTTGCCCTCAAGTGGTTTTTAAACTATTTGGCATATCTTGTTGCTTGCTAGCTACTCTGTTGACAGTTTGACAAGAACACGTGATAGCCAACTAGCTTGTTAATTGTTTACAAACAAATTAGTGAATGTGCTAGAAAGCTAAATAGCTACCTAGCTAGCTAGTTGACTGCTGTGGCTAGCCCAAAAATACTAGTTTTGAAAGTTGGATCTTTTTGTCCTTTGATGCATTAGAAGTGTTCTTACACTATGATTTTGAACATTCAAAGCAACTGGGAAACACCCATGAACATTATGAAACATCAAAGATACCAGGCCTGGTCTTCATAGCAGATTTTGAAAAGGCGTTTGATAAAGTACGACTAGAATTTATATATAAATGCCTGGACTACTTTAATTTCGGTGAATCTCTTATAGGTTAAAGTTATGTACAGCAACCCCAGGTGTAAAATAGTAAATAATGGTTACTTCTCAGAAAGTATTGAGCTTTTAAGAGGAGTAAAACAAGGCTGTCCGTTGTCTCCATATCTATTTATTATGGCCATTGAAATGCTAGCTATTAAAATCAGTTCCAACAAGAACATCAAGTGGTTAGACATTCAGGGGTTAAAAACAAAAGTGTCAATGTATGCCAATGACTCAAGTTTTTTCTTAAGTCGACAATCTGGATCCCTGCACAGTCTCATTGAAGATCTTGATCACTTTTCTAGCCTCTCTGGACTAAAACCTAATTATGACAAGTGTACCATATTACGTATTGGATTGTTAAAAGACACAGTGTTTACACTACCTTGTAGTTTACCAATAAAATTGGCGGATGGTGAAGTAGACATACTTGGTATTCATATCTCCAAAAATATAAATGAACTTACCACAACCAATTTCAATAGACATTTTAAAAAATAGATAAGATTCTGCAACCATGGTGAGGTAAGTACTTGTCTGGAAAAATCACACTGATTAACTCTTTGGTCCTATCACAGTTTACTTACTTACTAGTGGCACTGCCTACTCCAGACGACTCGTTTTTAAAATCATATGAGCAAAAAATACAACACTTTATTTGAAATGCTATGAATATGAGTTTGGGGGGATACAAGTCTTAAATATTAAAGCATTACATCTCTCACTAAAAGCTTCACTCATACATAAGGTATACTTAAACCCGAACTGGTTCTCCAGTAGGTTATTAAGAAAGGCCCATCCCTGGTTCAAAAATGGCCTTTTTGCCTTTATACAGATTACAACTTCTCATTTCCGACTAATTGTAAATTAAACTTTGTTTAAAGTATCGCCCTTTCTTGTTGAAAGTATCGCCAATATTTCCAATCCCACTGAGCCGACCTTGTGAGAGCAAACCTCAGACACCCTGTCTGTCTACAACAGGCGCATTTCTAAGTATGCAACAGGTAAAATATGTATGATAAGTGTGAGACACTGTAAGCAGAAAGAGACACAGTACATTTCCACTACAGCAACTTCTACCCCGAGCCGGACTGGGGCACTGAAATACAGATGAGTGATTCCTCATTAAACCAGGACATAAAAATACCATGATTTTGGGGATTTTCACAAGATTTAATCCATAGAATGGTCCTTTGGAGGAAGCATTGTTGACCTACAGTATATTTGACATTTGTATCTAAAAGCATAATTTAGAAATCATGAATCAAAGTTGGCATATTTATGACATTGTGCCTTACCCAGGCCTCATTTAAGACTCCATAAAGTTTCATCTGTAGGTGCTACAAAGCAAAAATTGGTGTCATATGAAGCTTAACCGCTTGCCCTGTAATATGAGTAGTATTTTACTTTCAATAACAATTTTCTTACATTAACTTATGAACATTGAAAAAACAACATTTTTGATTGGCCTCATGGTGAAATCCCTGAGCGGTCTCCTTCCTCTCTGGTAACTGAGTTAGGAACGATGCCTGTATCTTTGTAGTGACTGGGTGTATCGATACACCATCCAAAGCCTAATTAATAACTTCACCATGCTCAAAGGGATAATCAGAGTCTATTTTAGTTTTTTTACCCATCTACCAATACAGCAGGTGCCCTTCTTTGCGAGGCATTGGAAAACCTCTCTGGTCTTTATGGTTGAATCTGTGTTTGAAATTCACTACTCGATTGAGATGGGGTACTCATTAAAAAATATATTATTGAACATAGAATGAGTCCATGCAACTTATTCTGCGATTTGTTAAGAACAATTTTACATTTTGCCGTAACAAGGGGTTGAATACTTATTTACTCAAGACATTTCAGCTTTTAATTATTTTTGAATTTCTAAAATGTTATTTGGGGTATTGTGTGTAGATCAGTGACACAAAATCTTAATTTAATAATTTGGCCAAATCCAAAACAACACATCACTGAGTACCACTCTTCATATTTTCAAGCATGGTGGTGG